GTGATACTTAGGTGTAATGGTTTCCTCACAGCTGCAACTGTGCTCCTTCTCAATGCTCTGAAAGTGTGGGCTCCTCTTCCACCTGAGTGCTAGCTGTAGATAGCAGCTTGGCACTCTGAGGCTGCCCACTGCTGCTTTTGGGTGATCTCAGGGTTTATGCTTCCTCCCAACTTGGAGGCATCAGAGGCAGGGATCTTAGTAGTGGCTGTGGCTGAGGGTCTTTTGCCTGTCTCCTGGAGGCTCCATCCCAGAGAGAAGCAGGTCAGCAATTGCTCAGTGCAATCAGCCTGGGATGGGTGGTCTGTGCCGTGGGCCCAAGCCAGGGGTTCCCTGCCTAGTGATGAGTTGGGGGGTGCTTGGGGTTCATGGGAGATGGACTGGCCTTTTCTCCTTGGGTCAACTTCAGGTTGTTGGAGGTGTGGATAAGGCACTCAGGGTCTTTGCACCTTCATTAGTCTGAGGGTGGCAGGGGCACTATTACTGCGGAGACTGTGGCAGAGAAGCTTACATTTGCCCCTGGGACCTCCACCTCCAAGAGATGCAGAGCTGCTGTTACTGGGAGTGTTCAGCTGGTGGGGTGGGGCAGATGCACTGCTGGCATGAGCTTCAGGCTCCACTTGTTGGAGAGCAGGGGATTGGGGGTCACTGGGAGGAGAGACTAGTGTCTCTGTATGGTGACTGTGGTGTGCTGTAAGCTCAGATATAGTCCTAAGACTCTTTGTCTCCTCCCAAGAAACAGGGAAGAAAGGATAGAATCACTGTTGTGGCAGTGGCAGAGGGACTATCAGCTGCCTCTGTGAACCTCTCTCCAGGGAAACTCCAAGCCTATCAGTGGGTGTTCTCAGCTGCAGGTGGGGACAACTGTTTTGCAGTCATGAGCTGGGGGCTCTGCCAGGTGAAGAGTGGGGAGTGGGTGTTGCCAGAAAAAAAAGACTGGACTCTCTCCATACAGTATACTAGTAGTGCCAGCATAGTGAGTAGGCCCTTTGTTTCTTCCCCAGCCCAGGGGATGTTAGGGTGGTATCACTGCAACCATAGTAGTGGAGAGATTGTGGGATGATTCTGGGATTTCCTTCTCAGAGAAATTCTGGTCTGCCACTGATTAAGGTAATCAGGTTGGGGCAGGGTTCTTATTCTGGAGTCCCAGGTCAGGAAGCCTTGCCCAGTGAGGATAGGTGAGAACTAACACCTGCATAGAGAAAAGTCTGGCCACTTTTCTTTGAGGTGGTTGGCTTATGCTGGGGGTCTGGACCTATCCCTGGTCCCCATGGATTCTCCATAGCCTGGATACAGCAAGGGTACAAGATGCAAGACAAAAAAGATGGCAACCCATCCCTCCCACAAATGTGTGGTGGTAGTTGTGCTAATCCATTTGATTGTAGTAATAATTACAATATATATGCATCTACTAAATCATCACATTGTACGCATGGTGTATGCATAATGCTTGTCAATTATATATGGCTGAAAAAAATTATCTAATTCCACATTTGCTACAAGATACAGCTTTAGAATTAAAGATACAAGCTGACTGAAAGCAAAAAAATGAAAAGTATATATCATGCAAATAGTAACCACAAGAAAGCTGGATTGGCTATTCTAATATCAGACAAAATAGAGTTTAAAACAAAAATAAGTAGTACTGGAGATAAAGTAGGTCATTTTACAGTGATATAAAGGTCAACTCATCAGGAAAGTATGGGAAAATATAGCAATTATATATGCAGGTATTAACAGAGCAGCAAAACATATGAAACAAAAATGGACATATATGAAGGAAGAAGTAATTTGAAAATAATAGCTGAAGACATTTTTAAAATTTTACTTATTTATTTACTTATTTATTTATTGAGAGACAGGGTATCACTCTTTCACCACAATGGCAGTGGTGCAACTGTAGCTCGCTACAGCCTCAAACTCCCAGGCTCAAGGAATTTTCCTGCCTTAGCCTCCTGAGCAGCTGGGACTACAGGCATGTGCTACCATGTCAAGCAATTTTTTAAATTTTTTTTTTAAATTTTTTGGTGGAGGCAGGGTCTCCACCCTATATTGCTATATTGCCCAGCTGGTCTTAAACTCCTAGCTTTATGATTTCCTCGCACTTTGGCCTCCCAAAATGCTGGGATTATAGGCATGAGCCACCATGCCCAGGCCAAAGACTTTAATGGATAGAAATAGATTGTAATAATAGACAAACAATAGATAGAATAACTAGACAGAATATCAACAAGGAAGTAGAAACGTGAACAACACCATATAGCACTTTATTCAACAATAGAATACACATTTTCTGTAAGTGCACAGGGAATATTTTCCAGGATAGACCATATGCTACACCATAATAAAATTGCAATACATATAAAAGGACATAAATAATTAATAAATAAATAAGAATAAAGTATATTCTTTGACCACAAAGGGAAAATATTAAAAATCAGTAGCAAAAATCAATTTCAGAAACTCACAAATATGTCAATAGTAAACACCACACTACCACAATAATCAAAGAAAAAAGGAGAAAACTGTGAGGAAATAATACTTTTACACTTTTATAATTTAAACTTTTATTTTAATAAAAACAGTGGCAAAACATGTCAAAATTCATAGTATGACTCTAAAGCAGTTCTTACAGTGAAATTTATCATTGCAAATGCTTGTATTAAGGAAGAATAAAGATATCAAATCAATAACTGAAACTTCTACCTTAAGACTCACAAAAGAAGAGCAAACTACACAAATGGAAGGAAGTAAACTTTAAAGGCTAGACCAGAAACCAGTGAAATAGAGGATAGAAAAGCAAAAACAAAATTAATAAAACCAAAAGCTTTTGGTTTTATTAATTTCGTTTATTTGGAAAGAGAAAATTGACAAACATTTATCCACATTGACCCAGAAAAAAAGGGAAAATCAACTTAAATTACCAGAAAAATTAATCAAGGGAAGGCATTATTACAAACATTATAGAAATTAAAAATCCAAAGGAATACTATAAAAATCATATAATACTTAGATAAGATGGAGAAATTCCTAGAAAGATGCTAGTTACTGAAACTGACTTCAGTAAGTGGAAATTCTGAATGAACCTGTAAAAATAAAGATATTGAATTAGTAATTTAAAAACAAAAATTACCAAAATAGATGAGTTCAGATTTGGATTATAATCCAAGGTATACAATAAACACCTGGAAGTCATTATTAATATAAATAAATGATTGAGTTAGAAAAAAGGGAAAAATCTCTCACACAATAATTTCAAGTAGATAATCTGTCCTCATGGTTTCTACTCTTTCAGTGTAGGCTTTGCAAAGTGACTTCCTTTAAAAAAGTACAGTATGGAAAAAGGGACTTTTAAAAAGAAAAAAGGTTAAGATGACAGTGGAGAAACACGACAAATACTACCCCATTCACATGAATAAAGTCATCATCAACAGTGATGTCATGTTGCTAATATGCATTATTGATATGATGCAATAAAAATGATATTATTCCTCTGTGGTCTTATAACTTACTCTAATAATGAGAAAAGCATCAGAAAAGTCCTGATAGAGGAATATTTTACAAACTGCCTATTAGTAGTCCTCAAAAATGCCAAGGTAATTGAAAACAATGAAAGAAGACTGAGACACTTTTACAGTTAAGAGTAGTCTAAAAACACAGGATGGCTAATGTAATGTTATATCCTGGGTTGGATCTTGGAGTACAAGAACAATATTTGGAGAAAAACTTTAAAAAAATCTGAATAATATTCATCTGTGGTTAATAAATTACCGTTGTTGGTTCACCAATTGTGAAAAGAATACTCTACTAATGTAAGATGGTAATAATAGGAGAAATTGAGTGCAGGATGTTAGAGAACTCTGTACCATATTTAAATTTTTCTATAAATTTAAAACAACTGAAAATAAGGTTACTTTAAAAGAAAAGCATGGTTAATAATGCAAAGGAAAATGGAAGTTTAATAAAGATGTGAATGTTGAATTTAGTAACAAGTAGAGCACTAGAACCATCATAAGCTGCAAATCAGTGGAATCATGAAGATGAAAATCAGACCACAGCAGATTCAGGTTTGAGTGGGAGGTGATGAAGTTGAACTAATCAGTATATACAATTCTTTGAGGATACTTTCTTGTGCTATATAAATTAAAAACAGATATTTCAATTGATCATTTTGACTGAAAACAAAGCCTTCTTAGCATAATATCTCAAAATTTTCTAGTAATTAAAATCTGTATCTACATGAATCTCATAATTAAAGATGAAGAATATAATCACCAAAAAATATGTTAAGCATTTCAGTGCAGAATGCCATTGGGAATACAGAAAAGGATGATCAGGACAGTGTATGTACAGGAACATGGGAAATAAACTGTATTCCTTCTTGCTCAGTTTATAAGAAACACATTTTAAGATGTAGAATGACTTGAGATTGCCATAAATAATTAAGAAATGTACTGAAAACCCAGGTAGAAAAAATGGACAATAGTCTGGCTCTCATAGTTTATCTACTCCTCATAGAAAGCCCTCTATAGATTCCTACATACAAAGTCATCACTGTTTCTGCTTTATTCCAATTGGTGCAATTAATTTGCTCCAACTTTTCTTCTACATTTCTAAAAGTCTGCTAAGTTTTGTTCGTTCATCATCCCTTTTTGATACGAGGTTCTCCAGCTGGAAATATTTTTTTTCCCTGAACAGGAGATCAAAACTTGCATTTAAAAATTTTTTGTATTAGGTTAAAAAATCTAGGAAAACTTTTGAAACCTAAATCTTTCTCAGATATATTGAGGGCCTTCACAGTGTATAATGAATAACTTCACCGTAAAATATAACTACACCTTTATTCTCTATATTGAAAATATACAGATTTACAATCATTGAGGTTTAGGTCCAGCATCTTAAAGTCAAAATATCATTGGTAATATGTGAATTCTAAATTCAACATTATATGAAATCTTCTCACAAATATAAGGGGAATGGAGGGAAAGATATGTTTCAGAATCTCTGTCATCTACGCTTCGTGTTTCTTGAATTTCTTGAGGATTCTGTCACGAATCTGCTTGGTCTTAACACTGTAGACAATGGGGTTCATGAGAGGTGGAACCAGCAAGTAGACATTGGCCATCAGCACATGGACAATTGGGGAAGCATTCTGTCCATAGCGGTGGATCATAGATAGCCCAATCATTGGTGTATAGAAGGTGAGTACAGCACAGATGTGGGAGATGCAAGTATTGAGGGCTCTCACTCTCTCTGCCTTGGAGGCTATACTCAACACTGTGCCCAGGATGAGGACATAGGATAGGAGGAGAAGCACTGAATCAAGTCCCATGGAACAGATGACCACCATGAGGCCATAGATGCTGCTGACTTGACGGTTGGATACAGGTGTCTTTATGAGGTCCTGGTGCAGGCAGAAAGGGTAGGACAGAATATTGACATCATGATATTGAAGCTTCTTCAAGAGGAAGGAAGCTGGAAAGACCAGAGCCAAGGCCCTTCCAGCAATTGCCAACCCAATCCCAATGATTACATCATTGGTTAGGATGGCTGCATAGCGCAAGGGTTCTCGGATTGCTATAAAGCGGTCAAAGGCCATAGCCAAGAGTACAGCTGACTCGATAATTGAGAAAACGTGAATGCAGTACATTTGGACCAGACAAGCATTGAAGGAGATCTCCTGCACATGGAACCAGAAGACACTGAACATGGTAGGCAAGGTAGTGGTAGATAGGCCCAGGTCAGTGAATGCCAGCATTGACAGAAAGTAATACATTGGTTGATGGAGGGAAGACTCAGTTCTGATAATGAAGAGGATGGTAATGTTCCCGGCAATTGAGGTGGCATAAATCAAGAAGATGGGGAGGGAAATCAAGTCATATCTGCTTTCAAGGCCTGAGAGGCCCATTAGGAGGAAGCGAGGGTATAAGGCAGAACTATTGAAGACAGACATTGTGCTAATGGATGAACCTAGAGTCTAGGTGAGGAAACAAGAATACGGAAAATTAGGGTAAAAGTCAAAATTGTAACAAGATAAATAAAATACTTTAATTTATGCTGCTGTGTGTTTAATGGTTTTGATCATGTCTATGTTCATTATATCTAATTACCCCACCTGTTATTTATTTTTTATTTATACCAATTTTTTTCTTTACTGTGCATTTATTGAGGTTTTTTGCTTGTTTGTTTGTTTGTTTGTTTGTTTGTTTGTTTGTTTTTTCGGTCTCTCTCTGTCGCCAGGCTAGAGTGCGGTGATGCACTCTTGGCTCACTGCCACCTCCGCCTCCCGGGTTCAAGTGATTCTCCTACCTTAGCTTCCCGAGTAGCTGGGACTACAGACATGTGCCACCACGCCTAGCTAATTTTTATATTTTTAGTAAAGACAAGGTTTCACCATGTTGGCCAAGATGGTCTCAATCTCTTGACTTCATGATCCCCCCCACCTCAGCCTCCCATAGTGCTGGGATTATAAGATCATTTTTTTAGAGATGGGATCTCACTATGTTACCTAGGCTAGCATCAAACTCCTGTTCTTAAGCAATCCTCCCAACTCAGCCTTCTGAGTAGCTGGAACTACAGGTGCATGCCACTGAAACTGAGAACATACTTTATTAAAGGAAATCTGGTAGTGTTAAAAAATAGAGAAATATATAAGAAATGACATCAACTATGTACAAACTAGTGGACAGATAAGTTAAAATTAAGAGTTAAACATTTTGAAGTTGATATTAAAAAAAAGAAAAGAAAAAAACGCATGATTTAAAACACAGAAGAGACAACTAACCCCATCCAGTCAGGTCAGGGAAGATGTATTGAAGGAGATTCTTAAATTAGGGCTTAAATGACAAATACTAGGGGGATAGTATAAAAGAGCTGTGATGTACATCCTGTACTGATTAAAATCCATGTAAATACAGTAAGATATTAGAGAGTATTGCAAATGTAAGTCACTACAATTGAGTAAAGCTATAGGATAGATGGCTCTTCATATGGTTCTTGAAGCTAAGGTTAAAAAGAAGTGAACCTGAATTTCTGAAGGAACTTGTGTGTAAATATGAGAGCATGGATATAATCTTAGAGGACACAATGTGCTCATTGTAACAATAAACAATATGACCAGATTTATAATATATCTGTGTCAAAATACAATCAATGTTTAAGAGTGGTCTAAAGGCTGACAAGAGAGAAGGCAAGGAAACCTGTTAGGAGACTATTGTAGTCATTAAAAGAAGTGGATGAAATCTAACCATGGGTATTATGAGGAATGAATAGTACATGGGAAGAAAAAAATAACATCTGTAACGTAGATCATCAGATGCTAAGAGTGAGAAAAAGAAAGAAATCCAGAATAGATTTATTTATTTGATAATCTTTTTTCCTGTCATTTATTAAAACAAACAAGGGACCTGCCTAGAAATTTGGTGAAACCAGTGGGCCAGATAATTCCTGTTTGGTTATGAGAAATTTGAGGTGTGTGGAAGAGATAGTGATATATTTTCTATAAAAACAAAAAACACAATGCCAAATTATAGAAAGAAAATAAAAGATTTATGTTCTCAGGGCTCAGTTACCACAATACATCAGATGAGCTGTAGGAAACAGACAGATACCACCATGAACTGGAGAAGATAGGCATTACAGAAAAAGCCCTAGAAACCTGTTACTTAGCATCATAATGATCACCTGATTCCAGTTATTCAGGGTACAAAACATCAAGAAAATGTTTATTTAGCATACTTTATTTCAAAGTTTTTCCAAAATTTACATGGTTCATTTTCCAACCTACCCTTCTCCACAAATATAATCACGCTTCATTGTTTCCCCTAATAGGCATAATTAATTATAAAATAACAAATTCTGTATCATTCTACAGAGATGACAAATATTGTGCAATCTGGTACCCTTTTCCTTACTTTTTATGAGCAGGTACAAAATGAAGAATAGAAGAGAATTATTTTATGCATTCTCATCCTACATTTAGTGATTTATATACTATACTAGTTATAGAAAATGATCTTTATACACCTCCTTCACTTTCCCAGCTTTTTATGTTATAAACTTCTGGTCTGCTTCATTATTGAACACTATGTCATCACTTTGGCATTCTCACATAATTATGCTTTCTTTCTTGATACCCACCATCAAATTTTTACGCAGTCTTCAGCATCTCTGCCCTGCCTACGCACACCAGGTCTTCCCTCTTACATAACTCTTCCCCACTTCTTTTTATGAAAGTGCCCGGCTTAGGGTAGTCATAATCTGACTTCCCTGATGGATGTAGACACAGGCACCCAACTCTCAGTAGCTCCGTCTCTAGATTCAGAGAAAGTCAGTTGACAATTGTTATTTACTACCTCTTTGGAAAGGTTACTAAACCCCTTTGAGTATAAACAAACTGGCAATTGTATTACTTTATATAATACTTAAGAGATTCAAGCAAATGTATGTAAAGTGCCTGGAACAATATCTAAGATTTAGGAGATACTTTGGACTTAAGTGAAGCAAATTGTTAATTAAGATGCTGAAGTAGCCATGCTCTTAAGTATATCAGCCAAACACAGCAGTGACACAAAAGCAGGTGCTGTCTGGAGTGCCCACGTTATCACATGTAAAGATGTTACCTCCCATGACTTCTCTTAAGAATTATCTTGTACAGACTAGTGGACAGAGAGCTAAAATTAAAATTTCCTTTTTCCCTCTTAATATTGTTAAGTATGTATGCTGTATGTAACACAAAATAGAGGAGGAACTCAAATCATCAACTTTATTATCATCAACTTCAGTTTTAACATTACAGGTTTTAGTTAATATCAGGTAGTAATATTTTGAGAAAACAGATATTTCAACACATGGGTTTCCACTATAGGTGCTATCTGTGCCTAGAAGTGAGTTTGCAATGGCAATTTCTTCCCAGAGTTCTTCTGAGCAACTTTCGAAGGGACTAGTCTGATTCTTTTGGAGGAAGGTAAAACTGTACCTCTGACCTATTCTAGAACAGTTATTTCACATGAGTAGAAGTCATTCCTACTTTTTGACCTTTACTTACACTTCCTAGATTCTTCAAATATATAATGTAGTAATCTCTTACCCATTTTTCTCACCTCAAAACCTTCCTGCAGGCACACCTGAGCCCTCAAGTGCAGACTCCTCACCCTACTGCAGACTGGCTGGGTTTCCAGTCTTTCAAGCTTAGAGACTGCCTGTAGGTTAAGAAAGTCACTGAAGACGGGCATCGAAGAATAATAAAATACACAGTGTATCCTAAGGCAGGTAATCCTTCAAGGAAGCATAAATGTCCTGAGTAAGGCATCAGTCTCTTCCTCAGTAACTCCAGAGCCAAGATAAAGCTTTTTTGCCTTTGACATTCTTGACTTTATCCAGCTGGGTGCTTTATCAGCACTACTGTGCTTTAACTACTCTGGCCTGTTTGCCCATCTTCACTAGCTGGTTCCCCCAGGACCACTCTTTTTTTTTTTTTTTTCTTCATTACAACTTCTAGGGGGAATAACTAACATCAGTGCTGAAAGAGCTATTTCTCCTGCTCGAGGACAAGAGATGGTCATGCCAACTTCCCAATCCAGAAATCCAGATTGGGAAGTAATTGAGAAGTATTCTGAGGGTCATGTGATAAAGATGAAAAACAATGGGCTGTCAGTCAGAATGATGTATAAAAAAATTTGTGCTCTAAGAAACCAGATACAGCATTTACTAGCCCTTGTATGCTGAGAAAATTATTCTGTATTTAGGCCAAATTTTTTACAACCATACACTAGGACATACCTTGTTGAACTGTTACAAAAAATATAAAATCATGTGTGTAAAGTAGAAATTCATCGCTCAAAAGTCATGCTTATTATAGCACTTGTAAATTATAAAGGGCTATGGGATCCACATGCGGTTGGTCCATAATACTCAATTCTTTTACCAGGCACTGGACAGAAGGGTAAACATTCTACCATCATCATTCTGCAACAACTGCTACTTGCACTGACCCACAAATCTGCCTCTGAGCATTCAATGAAAGAAAAGATGAAGATGTGATATGATACAAAAGGTTACACTCCCATATTATCACTATCTAGCAAAGACATAAATCCCTGCAAAGTATTATTGTGAAGGGTGTGTAATTCACAAATTACACAGGTAATAGAGATGATCATGGAGAACAGGTTTGGCAAACCTCCTTCAATTTAGATGAAAATCCAACATTTTACTTGTCCTCTTTCTCAATTGCACTTCACGTTTGCCACTAAAAAATGTATCTCGGTTATGCCATTGATGTTTCTTGATGCGTTTTTTTCTGATTTTTTCAAAACTCATGATGTAATTAATCAATATGTTTCTAACCACAATATAAACTACCTCTAAGGTCTATCATTTTTGTTTCCATTTTTCTCAGTGCCAGATCAATTCAAGTCATTTCCAATAAAATCTTGATTCAGGAGAAAATGACTTTATGGTGGTTTTTAGGGATACCACAGCTACCTCATACAACATATTTTCTTATCAGTCTATCAAATTTGACTTTTCTAGCATTTTATGTTATGGCATTTTCCTTGTCAAAAGTCTTTAATGTTTTCACACACTTTTATTAGATTTTTCTAATATTTACAATAGACCACTATTATAATAGATTTAATGGCCAAAACACCAAACACACATCAATCATGTTTGGAGGAAACGTCACATAGTCATTCCACTGTGTGTAAATATAAGTAGGCCCCATTAACATCTAATATTTTACAGAAATCAAGCATTACAGAAACTTGTGTAATATAGTTTAACCCAGTCTTTTCAAACATATTTTATGCAGACAGCATTTATTAACATCTGAAATTTGTGTTCTGCAGAGCTCAATTTGGAAATGAATGCCTGGAAAATGTTGGATTTAAGGCAGTGATTTTTAACAAGAAGGATTTTGCCTCAAAGGGGTGTTTGACAATATCTGGGGCCATTTTCAGTTGTTGTAATTGGGAAAGTGTTACTGGCATGTCATGTGTAGTTACTTACAATACTTCTAAACATTCTACAATGTGCAGGACAGTGATTCACAACAGAGACTCATCCAGTCCCACGGCAATAGTGTCAATGTTGAAAAATCCTGTTTTAAGGAGAGAAAAACAAAACTACACTAAAAATCGAAATTCTGTGTTTAAATCTGTGGGTA